TTATGTTTAATGTAAGTACCAAATTTGAACGAAATCCGTCCATGCATAACTGAGATCCGGGTTCGGAATGGTGAAAATGTGCGATTTCAATGCATTTTCGGCTTAAAGCGGCCGCCATTTGGCTATCGTTAATGGGATCATGAAACAAATGCACATACATATTTGTGACATGATGTACCTTGTGTGTGTGAAGTTTGAACTTGATCAATCCAGACATGTCTCTGATACGGATCCAGAACTGAATTCTTTAAAACAAAATGGCTGCCAGTCGGCCATTTCGAACTTGATCCGAAAAAAAAAATGACGTGCATCAAGGTCCTATTATGTTTAATGTATGTACCAAATTTGAACGAAATCCGTCCATGCATAACTGAGATCCAGGTCCGGAATGGTGAAAATGTGCGATTTTGATGCATTTTCGGCCTTAAAATGGCCGCTATTCGGCTATCGTTAATCGGATCATGAAAAAAATGCATGTGCATATGTCCCATATAATGTGTGATGTACGAGTGAAGTTTGAACATAATCGGTCCATGCATGTTCGAGATACAGGTGATCACGGACGGACGCACGGACGCACACAGGGCAAAACATAAGTCCCCGTTTTCGGACTCCGTCCGAACGGGGACTAAAAAACCATTAAAATGTTCCAGCATTTATCAATTACATTATTGTACAAATAATTTCTTTTCGAAAAAAATAATTTTGAATGTATTCTGAGGCATATGAGAACTGAAAACTGAGTACTATGAAAATGATGGCAATAAACAAATACTGACTTACAATCTGGAATAGTTGATTTTTTTGCGACGGCATTCTGAAAACAAAACAAACAAGTTGTAACATTTTGAAATAAAGTTATCGTTGAAACCATAGGTGTGTTTTGATGTTGACAATTTCTATACATTTACTGATCTATTCCAATTTAATGAGTAATTCCACGTTATGTGTTTATAGATGTTATACATAATTATTTTACTCAGTTTGTATAGAAATCTATCGAAAACATTCTTTTCTGTTTGATATTCCATTATTAATTTAGTAGGCCAACACTAATTGGTTGACATCTGTTTGCATGGAAAATGCCTTAATGTTCTATTCCCTTTTTTAAAGTTAATGGTAGTTCTGTTCTAGTTTTGTTTGTGCTCAACTGTATGAGTAGGTTAATTCATCCGTTGACTATGCAATGTTCATGTTTCATGTAATTACCAGAAGTTTACATTTGTAAATTCATTTGAAGTGTTTCAGATGTGATGTCAGAAATACCTTAGAATAAAATTTTTATTGGACAATTTCAGTTAAAAAAAATAAAACTTTTCTGTGATTCAAACAATATTATAGTGCTGTATTCCAAATTGATTTGTGCATGTGTCAAAATTTTCTTTGCCTACTCCTGAAAAGATGACCTTTGTATTACTCGTACATGTACATGTGATCAGAAAAGCCTGCCCAAAAAAATAAAGTTCAGTTAAATTGTTTAGAAACCAAAACCATTAGACATGATTAGACATGAACAATTCTGACAAGTTGACCATCATTAGCAGGGCAATTATTTTTGCAAAAAATTTCATTGGAACTTTTAGTTCATTTGAATTCATGAATATGAACCAAGTTGTCATGCCAACTCAGATTGCTAATGGAAAGTACATGTATATAGAAATCACCAGTTACACGTTTTGTTTACACACTGAGGTATTACGCACATATTCATATTTACATTTGACCGCATTAGCGCCCAGGGTCCTCAACTCAGAAAATCATGTTTTTTCCCCATAAATTCCCAAAGACTTTCCGGAAACACAAAGTGGTAGTGAATTTTCGATGTCTAAGTACGATCTGTTGGAACTGATTTCGACGAATAAGCGACATGGTTGTTTTTTTTTCAAAATAAACTTTTAACTAGCAATTTTTGATAGGTAACCTGAATGGCATGAAATATTTACCACATTTTACTTTTATTAACAGAACAATGTTGAAGTGCAGTTTACACACGGTTACTGTGGTCTACACATTCACGCATTCGTTAAGCAATGATCAAAGACCAAGTTTTAAGGTAGCATTATGAAGGGGTGAGCACTTTGCCAAATGCGACCCCCCCCCCCCCCCGAGTATAAAAATCTTGCATAGTGGGGGGGGGGGTGACCAGGCATAAGCACTAACACTGTCAAGTACGATATATGAACACATGCATTCATATTATAATTATATGTATAATAGTATATATATATATATTATATACACACAGGTAAAATATAATCCCAATATCAGCAAAACGAACATCCTTTTGATGAATACATGTATAAACAATACAATCACATACCTTCTTTTGAAGCTCCTTTTGTTTTGAAGCTAACCTGGCAGAAAATCTTGTCCGCTCATGATTTCTGACTTGAGCCTGTAAAATTCACATTGAACACTGTAGAGCATCTACATATATATCATTTTTCACTCTGTTACAATAATTGTTTTTGGGGCAAATGTCTTTTTGGAAAGATTGTGAACATCTCATATGGACATTTGACTAATCTTTATTCATTCGTACAAATTAAAATAAAGATTATTAGTTTGCGCGTTTCAATTTAGGTTGTCTATGCTTATTTTGCCCATGCTGCAAAATATACCTGACTATCTTTTTCAGTGTGCCCATGTTTATGTTTGTGCAATTATTACAAATGCATTATCAAGTCGGTAATATTGAAATATTCACAGAGCCTTACAATGGTAAAAATAACTTGAGTTTGCGTATTTACTATTATAGTAATGCATTACAATGTTGAAATATTCATAGCCGGTACAATATTGTAAACAAATTTACGCAACTATAAAAAAAGCAGTGCACTAAGTAAACGATGTTGAAATAAGTATTCAAAGCCAGCACAAATTTGCATACAAGTTGCGTAATTATAGTACCGTTGGATGTAAAAAATTTATTAGATCGATGTGTGGAGCACAAAAGAGAAAGGTTGCTAAGGTTACGCGCCTGTTCATCGCATAACTTGGGGAGGGGGATCAAACTTCGGTCCACACACACTTGATGTCAGCATCGACGTGCAGCAAGTTTCGCAAAAAAGTACTCTGTGCTCTCGCTGTCGCTCGCAAATGTCGTAAATTACGAAATTTGGACAAGATTTACGAACAAAAAAAATATCTATTAGTAGGATTTACGAACACATTTTGTACAAAATACCCACGCAAATCACCCTCATTTAATTGTCAAGACTCGACAGTGATCATCACGCATGTTACGGTTTGAGTGATTGTCATTTTAAAGTTAAACAATGTCCCGTTACTTCTAAGATTGCAACAATTGTTACATGGTGATCGCGATCAACACGGAACTGCCACTGAATGTATTTTTCCCATTCTAAAGTTATTTTAGTGTCATCGCACATGCATAGTTTAGTCGACATGTGTTTCAAGAGGGTGCTGGACATCTCGACCTATTTTTCATTGGACAACTCGACCCTAACCCTAGACCCATCTATTTCAGACGACCCGCCACCTCGACCCAATCCCAATAGCGTCGTAAACCCAGTGCGCGTAGACCACAGTGTTTGTTTCACTGATTTATTATTTTTTGCTGTTCATTTCACAGCACGCGACCCCTGAAAGTGACGTCATTTTTGGATTGATTCATTGCGCTTAATGGGTGATAAGTTATTCTTCAAGGAGGTGACACCGAAACGTGTTGCCACTAATATTGACACGTAACAAAGGGCGTGAAATGGCGTTAACAAACTACTAGTATTTGTTTTTATCTTGTAGACATGCAGACTTGTATTTGAAGCACCGCGTGTGTTATTTAAGATTGGCTAAATATTAAATCAATTCGATCATGTTCTCTGTGTTCAATGTTTCGAATCAATAGATGTTGTTCATTCAAACACAGCATTCATATACAGCACGATACACAGGATCGCGAGAATTTTGTATTTTTTCGAAGGGCAACATTATCAACGTTGAACTAGATAGAGGTTCGCGTCGCCACACTTAGATAGGGTCGGGTCGATGCAGTGGGTCGAGCTGCCCAGGGTGTCTGGGTCGAGATGTCCAATTTGGGTCAAAGTGTCTTGGGTCGAGAAATTGTTGGGTCGAGATGTCTAGAAATCTTTCAAGATACCCCGCGACTTTACTCTCAGTATGGGACGGTTTCATGTCGCCCTTATCAAACGCGCGATTTGTTTATTTATTGAAAATGGAGACTACCGGTACGTCAAAAAGGAGCAGACAACTGCTTGACGAGTATTTTTCACGACGAGATGGAGAAACCGCTAAATCGTGTTCAGAACCAGAAACCCATGGGTGTCCTAACCCTGACAGCACCAAGAAACGAAAAGTTGATTGTACTGCAGCACGATTTCAGAAATAATGGAAGGTTAAGATGCGGTTCCGTAGCTCTTTGGTGCGACCACAGTCAGCTGGCGCACACGTGATAATAAAATAAATACGATATTTACTATATGGGGGGCCACCATCTTGAATGACGCATAAAACTAAATAAGAGACAAGTTGTGAAACGTGTTTTTCAGATTCCTACAAATCAGGAAAAAATATCAATATTTCACAAAAATACGGTCCGTTGGTGTTGTATTAAGCCAACCGATAACAAAATTCAGCCGAATTCGTCGTTTTTGTGTGGAAAAATCCCTTGCATACGAACACCTAATTACGCGAAGAACCTGTAACACTAAGCCGGGGTATTTGAAACCGAAATTGTCATCTAAGCGTTAGGCCGTCGTTGATTGGCTGCTGCGCTGGAATGCCAATTTTTAGTTTCAAATACCCCGGCTTACTTCATAATAATATTGATTGGCATGGAGTTTTTTTCTGAGAAATTTCCCGTGAAAATTTATTCACAGGATGACCTGTATTCTAGGCAGTGAACTTAGTTTACTTTTGAATGATGACTAATTTCCCCACTGTTAACAATGTGAGCTTATCATGAATATGTTTAATACTGAGTTATTCAAATAAAGGTTCTGGTGTTACATTGCATATTTTGTTGTTATGTTTTGTTGTACCATCATAAATGGTACATTTTGTGGAGCAGACTGCCTAATTTGATGTCATGAAATTACACACAAAATTAGAGCTCAGGTTGCACCAGCAAGCACCATTTTCAGCATGCTGTTCTTGTTTTCGGTGGACGACAGAGGGGACACCTCCCTCTCCTTCTCTCTTCCCCGTTGTGCTCGGTCGCGGGAAAATGCTCCGCAGTTTCCAGACAAAGTTTACTAATACTTTTTTTTCTTGATTAGTAAATTTACTATTACCTAGCAAATTCCAGAGA